TATATATATATATATATATATATGATCCCTCTCAGATCACTCATATTTCTCTTGTTTTCTTCGCATTTGGATTTATATTTCCTTGACGAGAGATATTATATCTCTTTATCTCATTTTATTTGTTTTCCTAACTTTTATCAATAGCTTATATGCTCCTTTTGGCACTACTTGCAAACTTGCAACATGTCACGAGCATCAAATAACGTTGTTTGTATGTTTTCTGGATTATGTCACCCCTAGTGGGGCACTTGATGTGGTTGATATTAGGCTATAATTACATATTTTAGTACATTATTTATCTTACATTTTAGGTGTTTTAATGCTAAAATATACTTTCTTTGCGCGTAATGGAGTCTATTTTATGTGTAGGTACATTGGAGATGAAATTAGAGCAAAGGGAATATTTAAACCATCTCGCATTTTACCTCGCGAGGCACGGTCCATAGTGAGTCTGAAGGCTTATTTCCTCTCCTTGTTGGACTTGGACTTAGGCTATGTCATTTAGGTCTTTTCCTACACATATAAATAGACATTAAACACCACTTTTGAAGGAGTTTTTGGCGACCGGAGGCAAGAATAGCTCGTGGAACAACTTTTTGGGGAAAGAATCATCGAGTTCTACATTCCTTCATCTTTTCTTTGTAATTTAATTATGCAAAATACTTTAAAAAAAATTGTTACTATGAGTATGAGTAGTTAAACTTCTAATCTAGAGTTTTGATGGAACCTATTGGAGGGTGATTTTCATGTTACGTTTAATATAGATTTGCCGTAGTTTTTTCTCTATTTGTTCAAATACGTTTATATTGTGGTTGGTTGAAGAGCTCTCAATCGACTGTGCTAATTTAGTGTGTATTACTCGGAAGAGAATGCATATTTAGGTAGTTGTTGAACAACATCACTCCTAATGTATGTGAGGGATCAATACGGAGGGTTTAAAGGTGGGATTAGGAATAACGAAACCTTGATGCGATCTGAGTGAGCCGTAACTTAGTGCCAGCTAGCGTAGTTCGGAAGAATATGTCTAGTAAATTGTGGTAGTTACTCGGGAGAGAATTGCAACACTCAAAGCACTCATGATCGGTAGAGAAAACTTAGACAAATTTATAGAAAACATAGCGAAAAGGAGTCCGACAATAGGGAAAATCAGAACCTTAGATCATTCCAACTCTTGTCTACAACTTGTTCATAGTTAGTTAGTAATTACTGCATTTTCATTACTTGATCTTTAGTTAGTAAATATCCAATTCGTTATTTAATATTTCTGAAGATTGATTACGTGAATTTATACGAATCTAGTAGATGTGCTTAGTAGGTTAATTCCCCGTGGGATTCGACTCCGGACTTGTAAATCGGATTATATTTGCAATGACCACTTAGTCCTTTTTATAAGGCATAGTTGGGCGTGATCAAATTTTGGCGTTGTTGCCGGAAAATTAACGGTGTTATTAATTGCAGCTAAAAGAAGTGCTAGAATTCTTAGTGTAGTCAATTTTCTTCATTTTAAACTAAATACATTGAAATTCTAACGTTTGTAGTCTTGGGTGTTACAGGTGCATGCCTAGAAACTTCTCAAGAACTGGTGAATTGTTTGAAGCATTATCAGATCCTAAGAAAGTTTTTAAGGTATTGAATCATGCAAACAAGAAGGACAAACAGCAACAAAACTCAACAGAACGAATCGAACCAGACATGGATGACGTAATAGAAAATCCAAACAACAAAAATAATGCGAATGACCCGAACAATCAGGGTGTGGCACCTCTTGTGCCAGAAACAGCCTTGTATAAGTGGGCACAACCCACAGCCGAAAATTTGGCAACCGCAATTGCAGTCCCTCATATACAAGCGAAATCACTTCAAATCACAAACAACATGCTACATTTGTTGCAGAACAAGGGACTGTTCTCAGGGTCTTACATTGAAGATCCTCAGCAGCATCTGAAATTTTTTTTGTCAATATGTGTCACGCAAAGGCAACCTAATGTGACACCGGAAGAAATAAAGTTGTTATTGTTTTCATTATCGGTGACGGGAGAAGCTCAGACTTGGCTAAATTCACTCCCCATAAACTCCATCACTACTTGAGAGGAATTAGTCAAGCAATTTTTGAACAAGTTCTACCCACCCAATAAGACTACCAAACAAGTTGATGAGATATTGAGCTTCAAGCAGAGACCAACAGAAACACTACAAGAAACGTGGGAGAGGTTCAAGGGTATGCTGGTTAAGTGTCCACATCATGGCATTTCAGATCAGATGTTGGGGCAGAGGTTCTACATAGGATTGGCAGACAGCTTAAAGGCCAATGTTAATGCTTCAGCAGGTGGAGCATTTTTTAGCAAAATCATTCAGAGAATGCAAGTTCCTACTTGATAAAATGGCTCAAAACTCAGAATGGATGACAAGAGACTCTACGATCACTTCTCTCGTTCACTCAGTGGCTTTGGACCCAAACAACTCCATAGACGAAAATATGGCCACTCTGATGACGCAAATGAGTATCCTCACCAAAAAGATCGATGAATCAGGCCAAAAGCAACATGTACAAATAGTTGATGCGACTAATAGGGGATTATGTACACCGTGCATTAACCAACCATATGTATGCTCGTGGAGTGCGGAAAGTGACAACCAGAACTATCAGAAAAATATGAACTATGTGACCAACTATGGAGGACAGAGGCAAGTTGGTCAGAATTTGGGGCAACAGAATCAGCAATATAGACCAGCACAACAGCAGTTCAATAATAGTAGCAATCCTGGAGGTATGCGACCACAGGGTCAAGTTGTGTCTCGCCAAAGGCATCGGGGATACAATCAGCAAAATCAGCAACCATCTTATTAACAACCTCAGTAATAACAGATAGTGCGACAAGATTATGGGTTGTTTGAAATTAAAAGAATGCTACAACACTCATTGGGGCCAACAGAAAAATGGAAGAAAAGGTCCACCAGATACAAGAAAATGTGCACCAGATGCATGAAAAGGTAGTACTGCACAACTCAGCTATCAAAGGCATTGAGTATCAAACTAGGCCAGATATCGAATGGCTCTGAATAATCGTCCCCAAGGGATGTTACCTACGGACACCCATGTCAATCCAAAAGAGCAGGGTCCGAAACAGCTTATGGCAATGAGTCTAAGAAATGGTAGAGACCTAGATCTAGAGCAAGAAATTGCTCGCGAAAGCCGACCAACTGAAACTCTTGTGCCATTACCCATTGAGGTAGATGATTCAATAGGGTTAATTGAGGTAACGATACAACATACACAAGAGAGCACAAGCAAGGAAAAAGAGGTTCCGAAGGAGACTGAGGTAGTGCAAGAAACAACAGTAGAAGCAGTGCCCGAACAGGATAAAACTTAAATCACAGAAAGGAAGCAACCTCCAACACCATTCCCATAGAGATTGGCCAAATATCATAAGGATGAGCAGTATAAGAAATTCATGGAGTTGTTGAAACAAATCCAGGTGAACGTTTTACTGATTGACGCTTTGAGGGAGATGCCCGGGTATTCCAAAATGATGAAGGATTTGATGTCTCGCAAGTTCGACTTTCAAGACTTAGCCACTGTTACACTAACCTAGACATGCAGTGCTGTCGTGATGAGACCCACAGTTGAGAAGTTGTCAGACCCAGGGAGTTTCACAATCTCATGCACAATAGGCAGCTATGCTTTTGCTAAAGCATTGTGTGATTTGGGGGCAAGCATAAACTTGATGCCCTTGGCTATCTACAAAAGGTTAGGCATTGGAAGAGCAATACCCACATCCATGTTACTACAGCTAGCCGACCGGACAGTGAAGAGGCCATCAGGTATCCTTGATGATGTACTAGTGCAGGTTGGAAAGTTTGTGTTTTCAGCAGATTTTGTCATTCTGGACTACCGTGTTGACGAGGAGATTCACATAATTTTGGGAAGACAATTCTTGGCCACTGGGAGAGCTCTAATTGATTGTGAAACTGGAGAGCTAAAAACGAGACTGAACGATAAAGAGATAACATTCAATGTGCAGAAGTCTATGCGGCGACCAAGTGAATTTGCTAACTACTCTCTAATAGAAGCCGTGGATATAATTTTGAAGGAGGAATATGAGACTCTGAACGCTAAAGACCCTCTAGCAGCCTGTCTCATGAACTTAGAAGAAGTAAATTGAGAGTACTTGGCGGAGTGGGTGCTGACTCTTGAAGGCCAAGGGTTCTGAAAAAGAGAGCTCGGATTTGAGTCTTTGCACTTGGAAGAAAGAAAGACTTCTCCAGCTAAGCCATCGATTGAAGAGCCACCACAGTTGGAACTGAAATCGCTACCACCTCACCTCAGGTATGCTTTCTTAGGAC